CACAAAAATCGTCGACTTCAAGCTTTCTATTTGGTCACGGTATGTCAGGAAGACATTTGGGAAATTATAAAAACTCAGGCGCTTAAAGTTTGGAATTCAAAAATCAGGGACTAAATTTTATCATTAAAAAATCAGGTACTAAATAATAAAACCTAACCCTAATTTATCGCTCAATTTCCTTCACCTCCCTCCCGCCTCTCCTTCCCCCTCTCTCTCTTCCCCTCCGCCTCTCCCTAGCAGCGTCGAGGAGCTGTGACTGCTGCGATTCGTCGTAGCAGCGCCTGCTACTGTGAATCACAGCAGCGATTCGAGGTGCTGCTATTGTGAATCGCAGCGGCGGCGCTGCTAGCGACTATGGGGTGGGTCGCTGCTCCTAGCGTCGAGGTGAGTGGGTTGGCTGTGGTGTGTGGGTCATGTCGCTGTTGGTGTGTTAGTCGGCTGTTAGGGATCGACTGTGTTGGTGGATTGTCTGTGGGGGGTGTGGGTCGACTGTGTTGGGTGGTGGTAATGGTGACTGGGTTGGATATTTTTGCAGATGGTGGTTGTGGCAGATCTGGATGTTGTCGTGATATTGGTGGATATGGCTGTGATGGGTGGGGGTGTTTGTGACCAACTATTTAATCGTTTGTGACCAACAATTTGGCTGATTTATGACTATATATTAGGTGTCTGTGACGAAAAGTAATTTGTGACCAAGAAACTGTAACTTATGTGACCTATAAAAAAAAGTGACCTGTAATTTGAATGATATGTGACCTCGAAATAATATGTGACCTGTAAAATTTTTGATCTGTGACCATGAAATAATTTGTGTCCAATTAATTTGACGATATATGACCAGTAAATAAATCTGTGACTTATAATTATGAATATGTGACCAGTTGCCGGAAAAGTTGTTGGAAAAGAGTGGTGGTCGAAATGGTTGTCGGAAAAAAGTAGTGGTCGGAATGGTCGTCGGAATAGTCCCGGAGCAGTAGGGGTGGTGCAAGTGGAATGGGTTAATTATATTATATTATTAAAAAAAAAACCTGATTTTTGAATTTTTAAACTATAAACCTGATTTTTGAATTTAAAAACTTACACACCTTATTTTTTATTTTTTCCCAAAAATATTTGTACATAATTTAATGTATTAAATTATTTACCTCCTCTCACATGCACGCAGGCTCCGCGTGAATAAAAAAATCCCAAAATGTGGTCATCATCACCCATTGTGAGTAGTCGGTAATGGATTAGGTAAAAAAATTTGGTAGATGTAGCATGGTCCAAAGTTTATTCGCTTTGTTTTTCATTCAACGGATGCTTTATTTTTTTTTCCCAATTGTCTATTTCCTTTTTCAGGAAAAATGAGAAATACCAAATTTATTTACATTTTTTTATTTTTTTTATATGGTTCATTTTTGAAGAAAAAATATTTTCCAGTATAAGGAGGAATATATAGTTTATGGTTGTAAGAACTAAGAATACCACAAAAAATAAAAACCGAGTACATGAAAAAAGAACAACAAAAAATCATCTTGAAACATCCTAAATGAACACAAAAGTGAAATTATACCATTATGCCCCGTTTGTCTACCACTGTCCATTGAAAATAAATTTTAAAATAGTAAATTTTTGAAAAATATATGATGGAAAAGTCGGAAAAAAATTTGAATTTACGTATAAAATATTTTATCGTGAAAATATACAGAGGGTGTTTAATGAGGATTAAAATTAAATTTTTAGTAGATTATGATAGAAGTTTTTGAAATGTAGGGTTAAAAAGTTGTGAGACTCATGAAATATGTCGTTAATATTAATTTTTTGATTTTGATTTTGATTTTGATTTTGATTAAAATCAGATTTTAATTTGGATCAAACAAGTGCATAATTAAAAATGAATTTGACAAAAATAGTTTTGAAAAGTAGTCTCCTTGAACACAGGTACATGAAAAAAATCCGAAACTGACACATCCAAATCGTACCGATTCTAGCGACGAAAGGCGTTAATTACTATGTATTTGAAGACCACTTTTAAGCAGATCATCCCCTTTCCACCTTCCCCAATTATGGCGGCCTCTTCGCTTTCCCCCCTCTTCACCCACCCTCACCGTCACCCAAACGCCACCACCACTTCCACCGCCGGAAACATAGTCCCACTACGCACCCTCTCTTTCTCTACAAAAGTCACCCCACCTCAACACCAAAACACCAGCATTCCACCACCGCCACCGGGGCCACAGCAAGATAAGAAGTCATTTTCTGTCGCCACCGGGGAGCTCTTCCTTGGCATTGCGTCTCGTATTCTGATAAGGGGCGGTGGAAAATCGATTAATGGAGAAGGGAGGGAGATGCCGGCGGTGGAGATGTTCGCAGAGGAAGAGGGGGAGTGGTGGTGGAAGGGAAGGAGGAAGGAGAGGATTGCCACTGTGGTGAAGGATCCCGTGCAGCCTGAGGTGGTGTGGGAGCAGAGGGTTAAGGATGTGGAGGCCGAGCAGCGGCGCAAGGCGGTTACTAGTCCCGGATTCAGCTTCTCAGCTGCCGGGCTTTTGTTTCCTTATCACCTTGGCGTGGCCAATTTTCTAATTGAGAAGGGTTATATCAAGGTAATTTGATTCAATTCTTCTCATTTTTGGCTTTTTCTGACACTAATTTATATGCCTTTATTTATTTATTGACTGAGCAATATGTTGTACTGTTATCAAATTTTCGTGTAAATACTAAAATTTCTCGAGAATTTTTATTAGCAATGAATTCTGTTTTCTTGATTGTGAATGAAATGGAATCTGAACCAATCGTATGACCATTTCTGGGATAAGTAAGATAATCCAGCATTAACAATTTAGAGTAGCTTACTTTATTCTGACAATCTTTTATCCATTTCACACAATAATTTCGTGTTTTGAATTGAAGCTTCGGTTAGAGCATTGATCTTGACGTTCTGAAGAACTGGTTAAGGTATTGCACTTGCAGTCTTGCAGCATCTGAGATACCCCCAACAAAAGATCAAAACTTCAATCTTTGATCGACTGATTGAAAAACCTTGTTTGTTTTGGCTTATAATTGCTTTGCTGGTATTTCCATGCTTTTATGTTGGAAATTCTTGCCATTGTATATCATTGGTATGTTTTGGTGATCGGAAATAGTTCTTTTGAATGCCAGACGAGGCTGCGGAATTTCTTCAGGGGTTTTACTGTTTGCAATGTGAGATATAATTGTATATGTAGTAGTTCTAAATATAGATGACAAGAAACTTATCTTTTTCCAGTATTCTTCTCCTACAGAAGGCCCTTTCCTTCTATATTTTTAGTGAGGGACCTTTCCATATTACTGGGCATTTCTGATGCAGAAATAATAGTTAGTTTTTTGACTTCCGTATTTGTTTCTGACACAGGAGACAACACCGTTAGCTGGTTCATCTGCTGGTGCTATTGTCTGTGCTGTGATTGCATCTGGAGCCAGTATGCGGGAAGCCTTAGAAGCTACCAAAGTGCTGGCTGAAGATTGTCGACTTCGAGGAACTGCATTTCGCCTCGGGGTATGTGCATGTGCTACGTTTAATGGGTGTGAGGTTAATTAGATAAAACAGGACAACACTATTTTTAAACTTCATCAGTATAGCTAAAGATGAAATTTTGAAGGAAAAAAAGAGGACAACCTTCAATATGAACGAAATAAATGGTTTTGATAGCTAATAAGTAAGTGACCATTGTTGCAAGGCTTAAGAATCTACTTTTCCCCTCCTGCTGTTGTGCTTCGTTTTGTTTTTGTTTAAAATGACAGTATTTAGTAAGTTAAATCGGTGAGCTGACAGTATTTAAAATGGATTGCAGAGTGCAGTGGTGATCTGGAATTGAATAAGGATGAATAGTACAAATAGTCCTTTGGTTTAAGCATAGAGGGATTAAAATAGCATATGAGGGCTAAGAAAAATTACCCAATATCCTATTTTATCTCACTGTAAAATCCAAGTATTTAATATGGAAAATGTTTCAATGCACAGGCTGTTCTTAGGGATGTTCTGGAGAAATTTCTGCCAGATGATGCTCATATCCGGTCCAGTGGAAGGGTTCGTGGTGAGTATTGTTACTTCCCTCCAGCACACGCACACGCCACAGTTCACAGTTGCAATCTCCAATGTATAATGGCCATTGGAGCGTAGTTAATTTGGAGAAAGTTTTGTTACCTCCTAAAAAGTGCTGCCATAGTCCTTCTGAGACACAGCTTAAACACTTATTTTTCTAATCTTATCACCACCTGCTCATGTAATTTGGGCACTAATTTTGATGTGCCGAAGTGCTTTTCAGTGGCTTCTAGAAATGAGGTTTTGAATTGTTATGTGGTTTCATCTCAGTTGCCGTAACGCAGATTCTGTGGAGGCCAAGGGGCTTATTGGTTGATGAGTTTGATTCTAAAGAAGATCTCATTAATGCAGTCTTTACTTCCTCCTTTATTCCAGGGTACACATTTTCTATTTCTGCATTAGCTACTAGGCTAGATTTGGAAGTTGAACTAAAAGTGTAGTTTATTACAGATATCTTGCACCGAGGCCAGCAACAATGTTCCGCAATCGACTTTGTATAGATGGGGGTTTGACGTTGTTCATGCCGCCAACTTCGGCTGCACAAACGGTATTGCCTTTCTCTTTTTCGTTGAAACTGTAACAATTATGTCGTATAGTTTATTTTCTGATTTTAAGAAGCTGAATTTGTGTAGCCTGTAGAGTCCAGATGTATTGGAAATGTGGGTTGTATATTAATTTTGGTCATGACTCAGCTATAATCTTGGTTGGCTTTATTTGTTGATGATACATCCATCAGAACTATGGGTTTATGTTTTCTTTCATTCTTGAAATACCATCGTTATATTATTGAGGCAATTAAGTGAATCTAGACTGTTGAAATGTTACAGGTACGAGTTTGTGCTTTTCCTGCCAGTCGTTTGGGATTGCAAGGAATTGGAATTAGTCCTGACTGCAACCCAGAAAACCGTGCAAGTCCCAGGGAGGTAATTTGCAACCTCACTTGAGATGATTTCCTAGTTCCATTTTCCTGATAAAATCCTGATGTTCTTTTGCTCGATTTTCTAGCTCTTTAATTGGGCTCTTGAGCCAGCAGAAGATGATATTCTCGATAAGCTCTTTGAGCTTGGATATTCAGATGCAGCCATCTGGGCTGAAGATAATCCAGTCGGGAAAATAGTTCAAGATGACGGTCCTTATGCTGACAATGGTGTTGCACAATAGCTCATAGCACGCTGCTCCTGTAACCTGCAAACGGAATAAAGTTTGGCACTTGCAGAAAAACATTAGTACGCCGGACTTGCACAGGCAGTCGCGCAAAATATTGTACAATAATTTTATTTATATGGTGGGGGCAAAATGAAAAGGCCATAAAGGAATATTCAGAAAGGTAGAATACTGAAGACGACGAGGACTGGGGTTATTAGTGGTCTTGGTCACTCGTTTTCTGTTCTCTATTTTCAAAGATATGTAAAGAATGATATTAACTCTTTATCAAATGGGGTTATGTTGAGAAAAGCTTAATTACGCTATTGTTCCCTTTTTCTTTCACTTTGTTGTGTAAATTCTTTTCACTTCCACTGTTGTTTAATTTTTTTCTAAATTCAAGATTCTCGTGCGTTGTTCCTGAAGAAAGTATAATTTATTAACCACACGTTTAGATGTACACATGAAGTTGCAGAATTCTTGGCAGTGATCGAGATTTGAGATTAACTTTATTGATTTTTAAGGGAATAAATTTGATGTTTGAGTGCTACATTTGTCTGTCGGGTCGACGAAGAGCACGTGAAAGGAATTGGCAAATCTGGGAGATTGGGTTGGTTTGGGATAGGGGAAGGAAGGGGAAGAAGAAAATTATGTTCTTGTTCCTATCCCACATCGGTGACAGGAAATAAAAGTGTTAAAGAAACTTGTTATAAAAGGGCCGGATGAACACTAGATTAAGCATACCTTTCTCGGCCTTTTCCAGTATTCTTCTCCTACAGAAGGCAATTCCTTCTATATTTTTAGTGATGGACCTTTCCATTGGGCATTTCTGATGTAGAAATAATAATTAGTTTTTTGACTTCTGTATTTGTTTCTGACACAGGAGACAACACCATTAGCCGGTTCATCTGCTGGTGCTATTGTCTGTGCTGTGATTGCTTCTGGAGCCAGTATGCGGGAAGCCTTAGAAGCTACCAAAGTGCTGGCTGAAGATTGTCGACTTCGAGGAACTGCGTTTCGCCTCGGGGTATGTGCATGTGCTACGTTTAATGGGTGTGAGGTTAATTAGATAAAACAGGACAACACTATTTTTGAACTTCATCAGTATAGCTAAAGATGAAATTTTGAAGGAAAAAAGGAGGACAACCTTCAATATGAATGAAATAAATGGTTTTGATAGCTAATAAGTAAGAGTCCGTTTGATTGTAATGGTGGAAAATGGGTGGAAAGAAAATGAATTTCAAGAAAAGTAGAAATTGTTTTCCAGGGAATTGTTAATTAAGTGTGTTTCATTGGTATAATTTTCCACCCGAAAAATTTTAAAATTTTGAATCTTTTTGTGTTCGTTTAGCTTTATTTTACATGAAAATTATCCATTAAAGTGATAATTTTTTCCACATTGATTATAAAATTTGTTTCCTTTCTCAAAAAGTAAAAAAAAAACCATCAAAGTTCAGTGTTCGTTTGACTTTGTTTTACATGGAAATTGTTCATTAAAGTAAAATTTTTTTTTACAATTTGTTATGAAATTTGTTCCAATTGCCAAAAAAAAAAAAAACTAGAACTTCAAATTCCCACCAAAGAGGTGAGAAAATCATTTCCACAAAACCAAAGAAAGTGTGCACGTGTAAGGGTGGGGGGGAAAACAATTTCCCTAGAAAAAAAGCCTATCAAACATGACAAAATGAAAATGTTTTCCATTTTCCATGGAAAAAGCTTTGTATCAAACAGGCCTAAGTGACCATTGTTGCAAGGCTTAAGAATCTCCTTTTCCCCTCCTGCTGTTGTGCTTGGTTTTGTTTTTGTTCAAAAATGACAGTATTTAGTAAGTTAAATCGGTGAGCTGAACTAGTATATCTTATCATTTCTCCTTGGGTGGATTGCAGAGTGCAGTGGTGATCTGGAATTGAATAAGAATGAATAGTACAAATAGTCCTTTGGTTTAAGCATAGAGGGAATAAAATAGCATATGAGGGCTAAGAAAAATTGCCCAATATCCTATTTTATCTCACTGTAAAATCCAAGTATTTAATATGGAAAATGTTTTAATGCACAGGCCGTTCTTAGGGATGTTCTGGAGAAATTTCTGCCAGATGATGCTCATATCCGGTCCAGTGGAAGGGTTCGTGGTGAGTATTGTTACTTCCCTCCAGCACACGCACACGCCACAGTTGCAATCTCCAGTGTATAATGGCCATTGAAGTGTAGTTAATTTGGAGAAAATTTTGTTGCCTCCTAAAAAGTGCTGCCATAGTCCTTCTAAGACACAGCTTAAACACTTATTTTTCTAATCTTATCACCACCTGCTCATGTAATTTGGGCACTAATTTTGATGTACCGAAGTGCTTTTCAGTGGCTTCTAGAAACGAGGTTTTGATTTTGTTATGCGGTTTCATCTCAGTTGCCGTAACACAGATTCTGTGGAGGCCAAGGGGCT